CCCCCCTCACCGGTGCATACGGCTTTTTCTCAATCGAAGTGTGCCCCTCGACGCTCGCACCTTGTTTTTAAACAGGGAAAGCCTTCCTGCTCAAACTGGGCCCCTGGCCCCCGGGTTACAACAACAACGGCTCCCGCTTGAGACTTCCTTACAATTTAGCCAGGACCCCCGCTCCCGCCCGAGACTTCCTAGTATTTTACTCAGGAATCGCGCTCTCGCTTGGGACTTCCTCACAATTTATGCAGGAATCGGTCTTCCCGCACTCTGGAGTCGCGCTCTCGCGGGAGACTTGCTTGCAACTTACTGAAGAATGGCCTTGCGTTTAAATTCCTTGCAATTTGCCAAACCGCCGCGCTCCCGACACCCAGGCACCCAGGAGTCGCGCCCGCTGTGGCCCCATGTGCATGCCCTTCGTGGCCCCGCTGTCGCCATTTGTGTCCCCTTCACTGTCCTACGTGGCCCAGTTGCTACCCCCAGTGGCCCCATAGTTGCCTTCTGTGGCCCCGCATTATCTGCACTTCGTGGCCCCCGCTCGTTCGCGCTCTTCGTTGCCCCATATGCATTCCCTTCGTGTCCCCGCTGTCGCCCTTCGTGGCCTTCTTCGTGCCCTTCGTGGCCCTGCTGTCGTTCTCTCTCGCTCTCGCCTTCGCTCGTCGCCGCCGTCGTCCTCGACGTCGCCGTCGTCTTCGACGTCGTCGTCGTCGTCGTCGTCGTGGTCGGTCCCTTGTCCGTCCCTCTTGGGGTCGGGTCGACGGTCCGCGGCCGCCCCGCCGATCAGCGCTGCCGCTGGCCAGGCCGACGGTCCGCGGCCGCCCCGCCGCTTCCCGGGGCCCGGCCTGCAGGGAAGAAAGGTATACCCCCCCCAAAAGGGGTTCGATCGAAATCGAAGAGGGCGGGTATCGGATGTTTGGGAAATACGCGTTATTGGATTCTCGACCATATATGGGCGAACGGTCTCAAGATTATTATTATTGTTGTTGTTGTTGTTGTTGTTGCTGCTGTTGCTGTTGTTGTTGTTGTTGTTGCTGTTGTTGTTGTTGCTGTTGTTGTTGTTGTTGTTGTTGTTGTTGTTGTTGTTGTTGTTTTTGTTGTTGTTGTGATTGTTGTTGTTGTTGTTGTTGCTGCTGCTGCTGTTGTTGTTGTTGTTGTTGTTATTGTTGTTGTTGTTGTTGTTGTTGTTGTTGTTGTTGTTGTTGTTGTTTTTGTTGTTTTTGTTGTTGTTGTTGTTATTGTTGTTGTTGTTGTTGTTGTTGTTATTGTTGTGGTGGTGGTTGTTGTTGTTGGTGTTGTTGTTGTTGTTGTTATTATTGTTGTTGTTGTTGTTGTTGTTGTTGTTGTTGTTGTTGTTGTTGTTGTTGTTGTTTGCTGTTTGCTGTTTGCTGTTTGTCGTCGTCGTCGTCGTCGTCGTCCCACCCGCAACCCGCCCCGCGACCCACCCGCGACCCACCCCGCGACCCACCCGCGACCCACCCGCGACCCACCTCGAGACCCACCAGCGACCCACCCCGCGACCCAGCCGCGACCCACCCGCGACCCACCCGCGACCCACCCCGCGACCCGCCCGCGACCCACCTCGAGACCCACCCGCGACCCACCCGCGACCCACCCGCGACCCACCCGCGACCCACCCCGCGACGCACCCGCGACCCACCCGCGACCCACTCCGCGACCCACCCAAAATGTTCGGCACCTGCGGCGGGTTTCTTTTGCATTCGTTCCAAGTGGGATACCTGCGACCCACCCGCGACTCAAACCGCGCCCGCGACCCACCCGCGACCCACCGCGACCCACCCGCGACCCACCCCGCGACCCACCCACAATTTTCGGCGCCTTCGGCGGGCTTGTTTTGCATTTGTACCAGGTGGAGAACCTACGACCCACCCGCGACCCAAACCGCGTTCAGTGTACATCTCGAGATTTTCGGCGCCTGCGGCGGGCTGCTTTTCAATTCCTTCCAGGTGGAGGTGGAGAGCCCGCGACGCACCCGCGACCCAAACTACGTAGGTTTATCCTACGTCAAGCCCTACACGCCCTCAGCGGTCACTTCTCAGCTTCGCGGTCTGTGACCTTGCCGCGCCATTTTGGCTGCGTGTAGCTCCTTGGTTCAACTGTGCATCAGCACTGCCCCCGCATCCCGGTCCTGGTTGCAGTTTGCATCGCCCGTCGGCAAGGTTTTGGGCCCTGCCCCGCTTCCTGGCACCACCTCGCGCAGCCGGGCAGCTTAGGCAGCTTAGGCAGCTTAGGTTCGGCCGTCGGTCCCCGTGCGCTAGGCAATTAGGTTCGCGCGTAGCCCGCCCGACCTCTGACGCTGCTGGCGCGCTCGCCTGCGGCCGCGACGGAGAAAGTGTCCCCACCAGCCCATCCAGAAACGATCAGCAGGGGAGTCGGTGAGTCAGGGGCGGCAGGACGCATGCAGTTGCGCAGCAGTCTTCGGGAAATCAAGGATCATAAAGAAGCTTCCCGCATTCAAGCTCAATATGGAAATCCGTGCATGCTACGATGGTGCTTCGATGAGGGGTGAGGGGTGTTTCGATGACTCGTAATTGCTGTTGCACTGATTTGTATATTAAACTCGCGTGCGTTTCGAAACTTGGAGCCATTGTGGGGAACTGTTGGGGTTCTCTTGGCGCCCTCCTGGAGCTCTTTCTTGGAGCTCTCTTGAGGTCCTCTTAGGGCCTTCTTGGAGCCATCTTGGGGCTCTTTTGGCGCGTCTTGGGGCTCTGTTGGGGGGTCTGGGGGCCTTCTTGGGCCTCTTCTGGGATTCCTGAGGGGCCTCTTGGGGCCGTCTTGGATTCTTGTCGCGAAAAAAAGAGGGGATTCGGATCGCCTCCTTCGGAAACTCAGAAATGCTGTCTTGGGGCGCTCTTGGGCCGCTCGTGGTGCGCTCTTGGCCGCTCTTGGGGCCCTATTGGACCCCTCCTGGGGTTATCTTGGGCCGTCTTGGGGCCATCTTGAGGCCCCAAGGGCCCATCGGAGGCGAAAGTGCGAGAATGCAGAAGACATCGATTTTCCTCTAGGTTTCGAAAGATGTTGGCCTCTTGGGGGAGTCCTCGGAGGGCTCGGAGGGCAGTTGAAACCGTCTTGGGGCCGTCATGAGGCCCCTTGGGTGCGTGTCGGAGGCTATCTTGAGCCATCTACAGCTATCTCGGAGGCCATCTTGCGCTCTCTGAAGCCCAGCTGGGGCCATCTTAGGCCAAGAAGGACCCTCTGCCACATCGCGGGGGGGCCCGTCCAGACGCAGGGAGGGGGGGGAGGTAAACCTCCCGAACAGGGAAAGGAAAGAGGTTGGAAAAGGGAACGCCCTGGACCACCTGCGCCCAGAGGGCTGGTGGGATTGCTAGAAGGATTGCGGCGGCGGGCGCCACTCCGAAAGAATGAACGGACAATGAGGAGGTGCAGGACGGGGTGCAGGAGGAGGTGTGATGGTCGGAGGAACAGTAAAGACGTAAGGGGAAGGTCCGGAGGGGGCAAGGAGGGGTTCAGAGATTCGGAGGGCAGGAGGGGAGGTCCAGGGGTGGGGGAGGGTAGGAGCTGAGAAAGTTGGAGGAGCACGAGGGGGACGAGGGGGATGCGCAGGAGGGGGGAAACGCGGAAGTAGTGGAGGGATCGAAGGAACACAAGGAGAATCGTGCAAATTGTCGCCTTCTGCCGCGAGTGGCGTTTTGTTTGGGGACGGCTGGACAGCCCCCCTCCCCCGAAGTGAGTTTCCGTATGTCTTGTGACCGGCTGTCGATTGAACATGTCGTTGGGTGATGTGTGGTTCGTGCATCGCGTCGATTGGCATGGAGAACAAGAGGGAGGCCCCTGATCAAAAAACACAGGGTGAATCTATCGTCGTCGCGGAGGTCACAAAGACGTGTTCCCTCGCTTTTCTCGCTCGGCGTCTGGTTCTCATCGTTACAAGACTTCTAGGCCCCCTGCATGTTGACGGGAGTGCATGTGCACTGCTGGCCCATGTATAGTCGTAGTATGTGTTGGGGTAGATGCCCTGACCGCCGTGTAATTCGGCAGCTAACTTACAAGTTCACCATTGAGTGCACCATCTTCCAACGTGAGTCTGCACTTGTGGGGTCGTTGTTTCTTTCCAAAGAATTCGTGCTGCTCGTCGCAGCCGGCCGATCCCGGCCTGTGCCCTAATGGCCAGGGCCCTGTGCTGGTTCTGTGTGTTGCAGTCGGCCGTTTCGGCTCGGCGTTCCATGGTTGGTTTACCAGCCTGGAACATATCCCTATCCCTATGCTGGGCACCTCCTCATCACGATGCCAATCTTAGGGATTCCCTTATTTTTTGAGGGCGAGTCCCTAAGATTGTCATCGCCTTTTGGCGTGTCAATCTTAGGGATAGGGATACGTTCGAGGCTGGTAGTTGGTGTCGTGCGTCTGTTTGCTCCGTCGCAGGGGGGCCGCTCCCTGTCGGCGCTCTCTATGGCCCTGGTCGGCGCTCCGCGGCGGGTGCCCTGCCGTTGCTCCGTGCGCCGCGGTGGGCCGTGGCCGTTCCTCGTCGGTGCTCGTAACCGCTCGCGCTCGGTGTGGCTGTGGCCCCAGGCTTGTGGCTGATGCCGTGTGGTCGGCGCCGTGCGGTCGGGGCGCCACGGTGCTCCACGGTTGATGCTCTGCGGTTGGAGCCCCGTGGCTGGCGTCGGACGGTCGGCGCCCTCTGGTCGGCGCTCCGTGGTGCCCAGGGGTCCGAGGAGGGAGAGGCACCCCTACCCCATACCCGTACCCATCCTTGGTTTTCCCTTTTTTTGGGCCTCCTGGGCGACTCTCGTGGCCACCGCTGGATTCGCCTCGAAGTTCTGGTCAGGACGCACCCCGGTGGAGGTCAGGGGGAGTAGCGGGTATCGGTACAAGCGGTCGGTGCCAAACGGCCTGCGCCACACATTCCTTGCACGGCGCGCGTGCAGTAGCCATCTGGCTGGTGTCCACGCCTCTAGGCATCACGTGCTCTTGCATCGAGGCGCGAGAGTGCGCAGCAGAGGCGTCGGCGGCGGCGGCGGCGGCAGGCATCAGTCCAAGATCATGTTCACCGCGCTGGACGTGGACGGGGACGGCTGCGTCACGCTGAACGAGTGGCTCCCGCCTCGGCGCGGGAGGATGCGCGGCAGCATCATCCGGAGCAGCAGCATTTGGAGGAGCGTGACCAGGAGCGAGGGCATAAGTAAGCTAAGTAGAGACGAGAGAAGGACGAGGGAGGAGGAGGAGGAGGAGGAGGAGGAGGAGGAGGCGGGGTAGCAGGAGTAGCATGGGATGAGAGGGGCAAAGGGAGGATGGGGAGGGCGGGACAGTCGTCTCGGGGGGGTCTAACTGAGATTTCTGGTCGGTGCCCTGGGGCTCTTTGGGGCTCGACAGTTTGGCGCGGGGTTGTCGCCCAATCGCCTAGTGAACGAGATTCAGCGTCGCTAGCAGTTGATGATGGCCTTCATCTTAGGGCGGCGACGGCGTGAGCATGGCGTCAGTTCCGGTGCGAGCGCGCCGAGATGGTTCATTTTCTCTTTCTCTCGCCCCCTCTGATCTGCCATTCCTTTCTCGCTTCACTTCCTCGTCCTTCGCAACATGCCCCTGCCGCAGCTGCCACCCGTGGGATTGACGGGCTGTTTGCAGGGGGCCGCGCGGAACGTAGCTAGTTTTTTTTCGTTGGGCCGTGCGCCCGCCCTGCTGGCGGATCTGCGGGGGGAACTGCGGCAGGAATGGTGACCCGATTTGTAGCAGGAACTTCGGCCGGGATCGTGGCGAAACCAGCGAGGTCTCTCGCGATGACCGCCGCCCCCCACGGCCTTCCCCACGACGTCGTCCCTGCCGCCCCCGCGACGAGTCGCTTGGCGCGAGCGCGCGGCTGCTTTGTTCATAGGGCTGGCCAGCGCGCCTGCAAGACTACGCGCGGGGGCCGCGCGCAGGGGCCCCTCCGTGCGCCTGACGCAGGGATAAAACAAATGCCTGGCGAGGGAACCGCGCACGTGCACGCTTGTGCGTCACGCCGCAGTCAGTATCGTCTTCGGAGGAGGATGCAGGAAGAGGAGGAGGATGCAGGAGGATGGAGGAGGAGGATGCAGGAGGAGGAGGAGGAGGAGGATGCAGGAGGATGGAGGAGGAGGAGGCGGAGGAGGAGGTGGATGGAGGAGGATGGAGGAGGAGGAGGAGGCGGAGGAGGAGGAGGAGGACTCCCTATGGAGCCACGCAACGTGTGGGGGGTGTGCCCGGAGGGGTGGCGCGGCCGAGTGCGGGCTGCGCCAGTGGGTCCCTCGGGGGAGCTCCACTTGGGGCCACGAAGCTTGCGAGGGCTGTGCCGAATGGGTGCGGCGGCCGCATGCGGGGGATGCCACCACGAAGCATGTGAGGGGTGTGCCAGAATAGGCGGAGAGGAACTCCCCATGAAGTCACCAAGCGTGTGACGGGTGTGCCGGAATGGACGGGGAGGGCGCATGCGGATTTTGACGTTGTGTCTTTTTGTGGAGCTCCCTATGGGGCCACGAAACGTGTGAGGGGTGTGCCCAAAGTTGCCCAACGCCCACATGCGAACGGTGCCACTTGGGCTTTTGGTGGAGCTCCCTATGGCTCCACGAAACGTGTGAGGGTTCCGCCGACAAGGGTGCGACGCCCAGTTTCCAACGGTGCCATTGGGGCTTGAGGTGGAGCTCCCCATGGGGCCACGAAGCGTCTGAGGGGTGGGCCGAAAAGAGGTCGACGCCCACGTGCGAACGTGCCACTGGAGCTCCGTACGGGGCCACGAAACGTGCGAGGGTTGGGCCGTACATGCAATGTCCACATGCGAGGGGTGCCACCAGGGCCTTCGGTAGAGTTCCTTCGGGGGGCAACGAAACGTGTGAGGGTTGTGCCGAAAGGAGTGCGACGCCCACATGCGAACGGTGCCATTGGAGCATTCGGTGGAGCTCCGCATGGGGTCACGAAATGTGTAAGGGGTATGCTGTGAAGAGCGCAACGCCCACATACGAATTCCCTATGAGGCCACGAAGCGTGTGAGGGGTGTGCCGAAATTGGCGTGACGCCTACATGCGAACGGTGCCGCTTGAGCCTGCGGTGGAGTTCCCTATGTGGCCACGAAGCGTGTGAGTGGTGTGCTGACAAGGGTGCGACGGCCACATGTGAACGGTGCCACTGGGGCCTTGAGCGAGTCCAAGACGTCGTTGTTCTGGTGGGGGCTCCGGATCAACGTCGTCTTGGAATCGATCTTGGAATGGCCCACCGTGGCCCACAAAAATTTGAAAAGGCTCCCAGAGGACCCAAACAGGGCCCTAAGAGAGCCCCAGGAGGGCCCCAGACTGGCCAAGATAGCCCAAGATGGCGCCCAGACGGCCTGAGAGAGCCTCCACGGAGCCCAAAAACACACCCAGACAGCCCAAGCAGATTCCAGTAGCCCCCAAGAGGTCGCCTACAGGCCCCCAAGTGGCCCCCCCTCCAGGATGCCCCAAGATAGCCCTAGATGGCCACAACAGCCCACAGGGTAATTAGCCTCAAAGGATCAGGAGGGCCCTACTCTTCTTCGACGCTCTTTTCGTCGGGCTCCTTACCGTCCTCCTTCGTCGTCGTCGTCCTTCTCCTCCTCATCCTTCTCCTCCTCTCTCTCTCTCTCCGCTTCGTTCCTCCTCGTACTCGTCCTCCACCTCTTCGTCCTTGTCCTCGTGCTTGTCTTTCTACTCGTTGTCCTCCTGCTCGCATCGCTACCCTCCCCGTCATTCGTGCTGTCATCCTCGTCATCCGCCGCTGGTTCGTCGACACCATCCTCACCAGCCCCATGGACCAAATCGGCGCTTCCCGATTTTTCCTATAATGTTTTAATGCCCAGCCCGTCCGACCCGATCCGCCCGTTGGGGTTCTCGCGTGCCAGCTCGTTTACGCATCGTACTTTATCGTCCCGCCCGACCGACCCGACCCGACCGTTAGGGTCCGCCCGCCCGAACCCTCCCGCCCGTTCGGGTTCTCGCGTGCCAAGTCGACTACGCACCATACTTGATGTCCCGCCCGCCCTACCCGTCCCGCCCCTTAGTGTCCGCCCGCCCCGACTCGAGGAGGCTCCCAGCTCTGATGCATCGCATCTTCCAGGATCCAGGGTCCAGATTCCAGAAAAGACCTCTCCGCGGCTCTGATGCATCGTATCTATCAGATTCCGGATGAGGCCCACGGCTTTGATGCATTGCATCTTCCAGTTTCCACAGTCTGGATTCGGGCAGGTTCCCCATGATGCATCGCATATTCTGGATTCCGGATTCCAAATTCCAGAACTGACCTCTCAGGATGCTCTTGGCCGTGATGCATTGCATCTTCTGGATTTTGGATTCCGGATTCCCGAATCCGGATGTTTGATTCGACCAGGCTCCCAGCTCTGATGCATCGCATCTTCCGGATTCTGGATCCGACCTCTCAGAAGGTTTATGATGCATCGCATCTTCTGGATTTTGGATTCCAGCTTCCGGATCCGACCTCTTTGGCTGGACTCTCCACATCATTCCTCCCGTTGTGAGTATCGTCTTCGGTGCGGCTCCCTATGGAGCCGCGCAACGTGCGAGGGGCGTGTCGGGATGTGTGGGGGGCGGCCGCATGCGGGTTGTGCCAGCTGCACTCTGGGCGGAGCTCCCTGTGAGGCCGCGACGCACGCCGGGAAGTCGTCCGCTTACCTATCTCTTGCCCTAGCTCCCGCCCTCTCTGCCCCCTCGCTTCTTCTCCCTCTCTTTCTTTCTTCCTCTTTCTCGCCCTGTGTTTCTCTGCCTCTCTATCTCTCTGTCTCTGTCTCTGTCTCTGTCACTCTCTCTCTCTCTCTCTTTATTGGTCGATTCTCTCTCTCTCTCTCTCTCCCTCTCTCTCTCTCTCTCCTGCTCTTCCAATCTCTCTCTGCCCATGTCTATGAATACACATATACGTGTATATCACATGTATGCACACATCTCTCTCTCTCTTTCTCTATCGCTCCGCCCCCTGTGTGTGCCTCCTCCTCGTCAGAGTTTTCTCCCAACCCCCGAAAGCGAACCCCAGGTTCGACACGCTGAAGACGTTCATGGACTCTGGGGTTCCCTCGGTCGACCTCGGGGGGAACCTAAGTCGTTCTTGCAGGGAGGGTGGGGGAGAGGGGGTTGGGATGCTTTCTTGCAGATGCCTCGGGCTTCGCGAGTGTCTGTCTCCACGGGAAAACATGATCCTGACGAAGGGCCCAACCACATGCAGTTGGGGGTAGCTTGGTTGCGGGTGTCGCTTTCGAGAGATGTCCTCACTGGCCATGAAGCATTCAAAGGGTGTGCCGATCTGGGGCGGGGCCACCACGTGGGCGCTGCCATTGATGCCTTGGGTGGAGCTCCATATTGGGCAGCGAAACGTTGTACTGGGTGGGGAACCGCATGCGGACACCGCCACTGAGGCCTTCGGTGGAGCTCCGTATGGAGCGACGGAACGCTGTAGCGGGTGGGGGAACGGCATGCGGAAACCGCCAATGGGGCCTTTTGTGGAGCTACATATGAGGCACGAAGCGCTGTACGGGTTGGGGGAAGCGAGAGCAGCCATTGGGGCCTTCGGTGGAGCTCCCCGTGGGGCCACGAAACATTGTACTGGGCGGGGGAACCGCATGCAAGTGCGGCCACTGGGGCCTTCGTGTCCGCGAAACGCTGTAATGGGTGGGACCTCCGGTGGGGTTCCCTATGGGGCCACGAAGCGCTGTCTTGGGTGGGGGAATGGCATGCGAGAGCAGCCACTGGGGCTTTCAGTGGAGCGCCCTATAGGGCCATGAAGCGCTTTACTTGGTGGGGGAACCGCATGCGACAGCAGCCACTGAGGCTTTCGATGGAGCTCCTTCTGAGGCCACGAAACGCTGTACTGGGTGGGGGACGCGCATGCGAAAGCAGCCACTGGGGCTTTCGGTGGAGCTCCCTTGTGGGGCCACGACGCGTTGTACTGGGTGTGTTCCGACGTGGCTGACTGGTGCGGAGGGCAGAGGCAGGGATGGGAGTCTGGGGGAGGAGGTTTGCTTTAAGTCTAGGGGGAAGAAACGGGAGCACATGTATGAGATAGTTGTTTATTAATCCCCAGGACAAAAGCCTCAAACATCAAAACTAAATATGTCCTTTATTCAAGTGGGGGGGAAGGAGGAAAGGGAGGAGGAGAGGCAGGAGACGCGGGGCGCTCTCTTCAAGACCAGGACCCCACGCCACAGGATGACTGGGAGAATGAGCGCCTACGGGCGCTCGAGCGCCGCACGCTGGCCAGGGGCACAGGGGTGACCATCCCCCGTTCGCCGTGCGGGCCCTCCCTGGGAGCGGCTGCGGCACGGGCGCCCTGTCGGACCAATACGAAGCGGCGGGAGCGCAGACAGGCGTCAGGAGGACGGGGGAGGCCGACCAGGAGACCCTTGGCCCCGTTTCCGAGGCGCGGCCCTGTCCACAAGCGCCGCCTGGGCAGGCCATGGCTGTGGATTCGGACAACACACATATATATAGATAGATATATATATATATATACACATATCCATACGCGACCAATCCAATCATTAATATATATATATATAGACGTATGTATCTATATGTATATATATATATACATACGTGCACACGTACACGACGCCTAGGGCCAATATAGCTCCACATCCACCGCCCGCGGCTTGCCCAGGACGGCGGCCCCCCAGGCGGCGGACATGGAAGTAGCCCCCCCTCCTCGCGCCGTCGGCCTCGGCCCAGCCAGGGTGGCACGCAGAGCTTTTGCCGCCCGTTGGACCGGGCCGCCGGCGCCCTCCTCCGCCTCCTCCTCCTCCTCCTCCTCCTCCGCCTCCTCGTCCTCCTCCTCCGCCTCCTCGTCCTCCTCCTCCGCCTCATCCTCCTCCTCCTCCTCCTCCTCTTCCTCCTCCGCCCTGTTCTCAGAGAGGGGCCAGGGCCGAAAGGACTGGAGCCCCTGCAGGGCTCATTTCGATGCCGCCAATTCGATTCGATCCGATCTCGGTGGACTCCGATGCCGATTCGATTCGATCTCGGGTTCCGATTCGGGAGCCGATTTCTCACTGGAGGCCTTCTAGCCTGCCGATGTCTGCCGATTCGACTTTTCCCGACTCGGCTGCCGATAACCGTCGATCCGATTCATTTCGATCGCCGATCCGATTTTCGATTCGATTTGGGGCTCCCCTGCCCCTGTGCCCCCCAAACTGCAGCACGCAGTCCAGACCGGCGTTGAGGATGGGCCCCGTATCGCAGGGGCAGTTTGCATTGTTCGGTATACTGGCTTCCTTGGCACCCTTTGGCGCGCGCGTCCTTGGCGTTCGCGTCGTTTCAAGGGTCTTGCACCCTTGAGCTCCGTACTGGTCGCTGACTGTGATATTTGCCTTGGTAGCAAAACAAAATTCGGTGCCTACGGTGGGGCACAGAGAATGAGCACCACCCACAGGATTAGCTCTCTCTCTCTCTCTTTGTATGCCCCAGCCTGAGCACGCGTGGGCACAGGGTCCACGCTAAGTCTGAGGATTGGGGGGGGCAAGTTTCCCCGCCGATGGGGGGATGGCAATCCCTTCCCTGAAGGTTACAACGGCGGGGGGGCGGGGGGGACGAGCTGAGACCCTTCACCAACTACGCCCAGTGGACTGGTGGGATTCGGATGGGGGCGGAGCGTGCGTGCCCGTTCCACGAGGGCTCCCACGACGGCGCGGTTCGCGGTTCGCGGTTCGCGGTCTGGGCCCACGACGGCGGTTGTGGGCCCCACCCAGGGGGGGCGGGGCGAGAGCGCGGTGTCATTCGCATTGCGCGCTTGACGCAGCGCGAAGCGCGAATTTCGGAGCCCTTGTTCCATTCTTTGAGTGCCGTCCACGAGCTTACCAAACACAATGTTGTAGGATTCTGGTGTGGGGGCGGGCGGCAGGGAGAAGTGGGGGAGTTGCGGGACGGAGCGTATGGCAACCTCGTTGGGGCTCAGCATTGCCGCTCAGACCTCTCAAAGGCGCCAGAACTTGGAATCCGACCTCCACTGTCGCAGCCAAGCGCAGACCTACACTGTCTTGAAACAGTCATGCCGTTTGGGCTTGGCAGCTCCTTACCAGTTCCAAGCTCTTTCTTGGCTTCCCCTTTCTATCGACCTTCGGAGATCACGAGGCTTCCAGAAGGCTTACGAGAGCTTCAATCTCGGAAACAGTCCAGTAGATATCCTCTCACAACGCCCAGGGCAGAAGACGGTACCGAACCGGGTGCCGGAATGTTCGATCATATTGTTTCTCTGCCAGTCTGGCTCTGCATGGTCCGCGCCCGCCTTCCAGGTCCTCGCGCACCGGCGCGTGAAGGAGATACGGGATCTCCGTGACCAGGCGTGCCAGGGCAAGTTCGATCAGCGCGGGAGGACGCCATGAAGGGGGGCTTAGCTTGATGGCGTCTTCAATCTCTTTCATGTCCTGAGAGGTGGAAGAGCTAGAGCAGAGGTGCACACATGGGCCCACTCGCGTCGACAGTTGTCGTCCAAGCAGTTCTTGCTCTTGGGGCTTCTCCTAGCTCTCTGCGGAGCTGGCCTCATGTGGCGGAGCCGGCTGTTCCCTGCAGGTGCCCCATATCGGCGGCGAGGGGAGGGGGGAGGAAGCGAGAAGGGGCGGGCCTTCTCAGAAGATTCGGAAGGCCTCGGGCCTTCTGATATGTTCTCTCAGCCTTCCCCGAAGACGCAGAACACTTCTCAGGCTATGTCGGGGCCCTTCCCTTCACTCCCTATGTGGGTCGACCCCCCCCCCCTCACCACCCGCCCGAGCGAAGTGCCACGTCTCCAGCCTAGCTCTCCCCGCCTCCCGCCGCCCGCCCCGCCCCCCGGTGCTCTGCCGCGCCGAGCGGGGGGGCGGAGGCAGCGCGCGCCGACGGCCCCGCCCCCCTTCGGGAGGGGCCACGCGCTGCGCCCGCCGGACGCCACCGGAGCCGGCCGAGGGGGTCAGAGGGGTAGCCCTCTGCACTGGTTCCGAGCAGCCGGAAGGTTGGGGGGGGGGCGAGGCTCGAGGGTCTGGGCTGAAGAAGGCCTCTGTTTTCGCTCGTCGTCTCCGGGGAGGCCGTTTTCGGGCCCCGCAGGGCCGTCAACAAAGATAGATCTGGGGTGCAAATGAACTACACCAGGCAGAGTCCGGGAGGGGTCCAGGCACCGATTTTGACCAGATCTGCATTCATCCCCCCCTTCTTGTCCGATTTTCTCGAGGCCTATCCAGCTCAGTCCTCCAAAGCACAAGTTGCCAGCGTGAATCATATCCTGGTCCCTAGGAACGGAGTCACCTTATCCCGGTACCGATCTTAAGAATTGCCTTCAGCTTCTGAGGGTACATCCTTAAGATTGTCGTCGCCCGGGGGCTTGCCGATCTTGTGCTCGAGGCTGGTCAACCCAGACATGCTCGCGCCATGAACAAGATCTCGACGGACGGTTCTGGCAGGGCCCCGCGCTGGGCCCCAGGGCCGTCAACGAAGCGGTGCGGGCTGAAGAGCAGGCGCTGGCGAAAGGGTCGGGACAGGGCCCCGTGTCTGGACCTCGTCACGGACCACAGGAGGGTCAGTTACCCGTGACTTGGCATCGCTCGGACGTGTGTATTTTTTCTCGACGAGAACCATCGAGGACCATCCTGGACCATCGAGCAAAAAAAGCACGCACGAAACCGAAACATGCACGGCAAATGGACGTCCGAGCGACGGCAAGGTGAGCTGTCTCTCGAGCTGTGCGTTCCACGTTTTCCTCCGCTCCTCGTGCGCGGGGAGGCCCCGCACGCTCAACGGCAGCAGCACGCGGGTGGGGTCGGCCGACTGGCGTGGCTCGCGGGCTTGGCCCATATCCATGGCCAGCGCGGGATGGGGGGCGCTGGGGATGGCGATGGGGCGTTTTGTTCGCGGCTGCCCCGCGCGGAGCGCATCCACGCGACAGCGCAGCCACGGGACCGCGCCGGGCACCCCCAGAGGCCGCCGAAGCTGGTCGGGGCCGCTTCCCCGGAAGCGGTGCCCCCTTGGGCGCATTCCCTCCTACTCCTCCTCCCTCCTCCTCCTCCTCCTCCTCCTCCTCCTCCTCCTCCCTCTCCTCCTCCCCCTCTTCCTCCTCCTCCGCCTCCTCCTCCTCCTCCTCCTCCTCCTCTTATCCTGACGGCCCGACAACGGCCCCTGAGGGCCGGAATCCAGGAGCAACGCCCGCATGGTCAAGCACACAATCGTAGGAGATCGTCGCGGTCGCGCGACCTCGGTCGTCCCTCTCGTCGTTTGTGCATCCCTCTCCTCTTGCATCGGCCTCTCGTTCCCGCTCGTCGTGCGTTCCTCTAGGCCTTGCTGCGCTCGTCCGACCCTACACCGTTTCAGGGTTTCACAGTTGTCTGGCCTCTCCGTGCGTACTGCGCACTGTCGTGCCGTCCTGTGGGACGGATTGTTTCGGATGCAGCTCGCGGGAGGTAACATTCCGAATCGGCGCTGGTATATCCGTGGCCTGAGCCAGCCTAACTTGGCACACTCCCGTCACATACAGTTGAATCTGGCTCCATCCCGCGCAATCCCGCTTAATCCAGTTTATTCCCGGGCCTATTCTGGCACAGTCCAGCTCAATGGCCCTCTCAATCGGGCTCAATCGCTTCTCATCGTTTATGACGAAGGCCTCCCAGGAATTGCCAGCTCACGTCCTGTTGGACGCATTATTGTCCTCGCCCTGTCTTGTCTTGGAGACCCTCTCTCTCTTCTAGACCCTTATGGCCTCTCTCCTATGGTCTCTCTCTCTCTCTCTTTCTCTATCCTGTATAGTCTCTCTCTCTCACCCTTTCCCTTGGCCTCTCCTTTCTGATAGTCTCTCCCCCTACGGTGTTGGATACCATGCAGTCGTTCATTCCATTTTCGCACACGCGTTGACTACGAGCTTCGGGGCCTGGCGACTCTCTGGCTCGCACTGTGGCTTTATTTGGCCAAGGTGTCGAACCCTGGTGGTCGCGCTCCCTCTCCTTCCTCCTCCTCCTCCTCCTCCTCCTCCTCCTCCTCATCATCATCATCATCATCATCATCATCATCATCATCATCATCATCATCCTCTTTTCTCCACCCCCCTCCTCCTGTTCCTCCTCCTCGTGAACCCTGTCTGCAGCCCGCCTGCACAGGGCTCGAAGCTTTGAACCGCCGGGCCTCGGGCGAGGGCTCCCGCCAAAGTGCGTTTTCCCCAGCGATTGTGGCCAGGTGGCCAGGCCAGCATCCGGGAGCCACGTTTCCGCCATAGCGCCTCCTCCCCAGCGATTGTGGCGAGGTGGCCAGGCCAGCATCCGGGAGCCACGTTTCCGCCATAGCGCCTCCTCCTTCTCCTCCTCCTCCTCCTCCTCCTCCTCCTCCTCCTCCTCCTCTTTGTTTGAAAAAAGAAGTAATGCGTTTCGAGTGTCTGAAGTCTGACCCCCCCCCCCCCCACGAGGAGCGCCGCCGGCTCGCCCCCGCCGGCGGGCGCCTCCGCCGCCCGCTGCGGCGGGGGCGGGCCGCGGCGGAGCCCCGGGCCGTGCGCGAGGCCTGCGCCCCCCTACTTGCGGCGCGCGGCCGCGCCCCGATCGTGGGGCGGGCGCCCCCCGTCGTGCAGGGCTCCTCACGGGAGAGAGAGCCGGGCCTCCCTCCCGAGGCCTTCTCTTCCTCCTCCTCCTCGTGTTCCTCCTCGTCGTCCTCCTCCTCGCCCTCCTCCCTTCATCTCTCCTCTTCTTCTCATTGTCCTCATCCTTCTCCTCCTCCTCCTCCTCCTCCTCCCATTTCTCCTCATCATCTTTCTCTTTCTCCTCCTCCTCCTCCTCCTCCTCCTCCTCCTCCTCCTCCTCCTCCTCTTTGCTCAAATCGATTTGCGGGGGTCAAGCTAGGTAGGCCGAGGTAAATCCAGAGAAGTCTAGGCAGATTCAGATAAGTCGGTGTGAGGCCAAATATCGAAGTAAACCCATAGATCTCCAGGAACACCTGGTGCACACCGTGGACGCTCCAGCGCAACTCGAGGGACAGCAGAAGTCGTTCAGCACCTAGCGGCACCAGTCCTCTTCGAGGGTCCTCATCGTTGAAGAGCAGACAACGGCATGAACATCATGTGTTGGAGCTGCGCGATGATTTGTTGGGTCGGCGTTGGGTGCCCCTGTCGGCGCCTCGAGCGCCGGCCCTTGCGCGCTCCGCGCGTCAGGGAGGTGGGTCCAGCGCCGATCCAAGACATCCGTGCGGACGTCCGAGAAATGTTGCTAATGCAGTTGGTTGTTCCTCTATATTCTTGGAGGGTCCTCCCCGACCTCGTAGATCTCGTGATCAGAAGATGAAAGCGTTTCCGCCTCTTTGGGCCTCTCGGGAGGCCGGGCCTCGTCGCCACGGCTGGGTTCGCCTCCAGCTCCTGGTGAGAACACACCATGGGGGCTCAGTTGCCTCGATACGCGCGTTTTGAATCGCAACACGTCCCGTGTTCAAGACGTCCGTGCCAATACGTTGCGTGTTGGCTCCACGTAGTGGACCACGTTTCGGCGACTTCATCGCGTCGGGCCTGCGTTTTCAGCCTGCGTGTTGAGTTCCGCACCGATACGGTGCGTGTTGCGTGTTGCGCATCGGGGCAGCCGAGCATGGGGGAGGTGTGAGGAGTGGCGGCATGGGCACACCTCTGCTTCGCCCGCGCTCACCCTCCTCGCCTGCCTCGGCGAGGCCAAGGGCTCCTCCCTGGAGGACCCCCGTCGCTCTCCTCGATCTCACGTGGCGTCGCCCACGGGGGGGAGGGGGCACGCGGGGGGCGGCTTGCCAAGGAGGCGGAGGGGCTTGTTAGAATTAGAAAGTCCAGGGTTCGCTAGGGACTGGTTTCCTTCCAAAGCGGCCGAACCCCACCTGAAACCCTCCAAAACCCTCCTGGAAGGGTTCTCGGAGGCTTGTCGGAGGGTTCCGGAAGGAGTTTGGAAGGGTTTTCGCCGTTTGGGGAGGAAACCAGTCCCTAGCGGCAGGGACCTCAGAAGGGGTCTCCTCAGAAGGGATCTCACTTGGCGTCGCCCACGGGGGGGGGGGGGGCACGCGGGGGGCGGCTTGCCAAGGAGGCGGAGGGGCTTGTTAACTAGAAGGCAGGGGAGGAGGAGGAAGAGGAGGAGGGGAGGAGGAGAAGGAGGAGGAGGAGGAGGAGGAGGAGGACTCCTCAGAAGGGCCTCGGAGGCCTCCGAGGAGGCCTCCGCCCAGGCTCGGCCCCGGCCGGGCTCGGCGCGGGGGGTGCACCGCTGGCGCCCCTGCGCTCGGCGCTCGCTCGCGCCCCCCCGGCGCGCGGCGGCGAGGAGGAGGAGGAGGGGGAGGAGGAGGAGGAGGAGGGGGAGGAGGAGGAGGAGGAGGAGGGAGGAGGGAGGAGGAGGAGGAGGAGGAGGAGGAGGAGGAGGAGGAGGAGGAGGAGGAGGAGGAG